AATCTCATTTTTGTTTTTCCGCACTCTTTCCTTGCGCTTGCCCACCGCCACCACATTCACAACGATATAGGGCATATAATTTCTGAGGTATTGCGACTTTTGATCCTGTTCCTGCTCCTGCTGGCAACACACCACACCTTTGTAAAGAAGTACTCTTGCAAGTCTCGGTATTTCATGTCGAAGCGGAGTTCCCGCGCTTGCCTGTCTTGTGCAGTTTCCTCCGTTTCGTCCTTCTCTTCCGTCGCCTCCCCGGCGGCTGCTTTGCGCTCGATATCCTATGTAAAAACGTCCCCACCGGAGAGTTAGTTTCTCATGCGCAACCCCATTAATACGAGGAGCATTTTCTAATGCTGTCTTGGACTTTGTTATGCTCGAAACAGGAAGAGACGCTAGATTTGTGATGTGGTTTCACTAGCCAAAAACAGCTACACTACTGACCCAAACTCGTCATGCGCAACAGCCAAAACTTCTCGATCTGTGTTCGCAAAATTGATTCCCATCTTGCCTGTCGCGGGGGGACCACGAATTTCATCAGGATACTCGGTTTCGTTCAGTTGCTCGCGTTGCTCCCGAATGAACTCCGCTAGATCGGCGAGCGGCATTTTGCCCGCAGTCTGGTTCATGACGAAATTTATGTGGTGCTGCCCATACACTTCCTCGAGCGGAACCTGGTGAGATTTTTTTGCATTTTTGTTCTTTTTTCTGTTTGCATGTACGTGATTTTTACGCAAAGAAGTGTCCGTCAAGATGCCGGTGAAAACCAGCCGTAAGTCCTGCAAAGTAAAAACGGTAAAACGAGCAAGCATTTTATCAATACCTACCTTGATGTCGTCGACCGTTTTGTATTTTTGTGGAACGGGCTTCACGAAGGGTTTGTCCACGAAGGGGTCGTTTTTTCTGTCGAGCAGAATTTTCACCCGGTCTTCCAAGTCCGATTTTGCGCGTTCTCGCTGCACTTTTCGGTACTCCCTCTCCCCGACGGTGACCACCTCTGCCTTGGACAAGTCCGACAAGCAGTTCCCCAAAATGTTCACGATACTCGGCTGGGAGTCAAACTGCGCGATTTCGACGGAAATTTTCATCGTGCTGGTGCGGTGGTGCGTGGGCATGTACGTGATTGCGACGTTGGTGGTGGACTCGGGGAGGATAATGCCCCGCAGCGGAGAAATCTCAAACGCTTCGTCCTTTTCCAAAATCTTGATCTCGAACTCAAACTCCACTGGTATCCGGCACGAAAGGGGGAGGAGCTGTTGTTTTCAGTTTTGATTATTATTTCTTCCCGTGTCGACGGGACCTGTGAGACCTTGTAACCCTCTCTAGCGGGGGCCGTACGAAACGAGAAGATGAAGTTTACTTTTTTGTTAGGCGAACCGAAACAACGAAATCTAGCGTCACCTTCGTTTTCGACGTGGCCAATCCTAGTGTGCCGAAGTCTATGTAGCTCGGCAAGGGCGTGTCGTTGGCTGAGGGGTAGCCGTGTATTGGCACTAGAAGATTCTCATCCTGCTTCCCCGTGAAAACTTGCAGATTGTCGTGGTAATATCGCCACTCGCTGGGCGTGAAAAAAACCTCCACTTCCTCTGCCATTCCGGGAGCCAGCAGGCCGCGCTTCTCGAAACTGCAGTAGAGTTTGCAAATTGCTACGAGGTAAAGTAGTTTTTCATTCGTGAGCTTCACCAGGCTCGGCGTTGGCGTTGCATTCATGCGAGCATGAGTAACTGGTGCACATGCACAAGGAAAAAAAAACGAAAACTACGTTGTAGGTAATCCACTTACTTTATCCGAAAGGCTTTTTCAGCCGACGGCGGCAACACCATGACTCGCAGGGCCTTTCCGGAGATGTTTCGTATTGTAAAAACCTGCTTGTGTTCCTTGTGTATCTGAAATCCACCAAAATGCAGTATGCCCGGCTTCACCGCTACCTTCACATTTTGTCGCAGCTTTTCAAACGGGTACTTCTTCAGCAGTAGATTCTGCGCATTCTCGTCGTCCGTTCGCCGGGCTCCAAGTTCCGCGGGCACGAACAGCGTCGGTTCCTCGGGTACCACCGGGGGGAGGTTCGTCGCATGTTCGGCCGCGCTCGGGGGTTGCTGTTGCCCGCTTCGCATCTGCGAAGACGAGCTAGAGGAGGGAGTTTGTTCTGGCATGGTCTTCGGAAGTGCTGATGGTGAAGATGGAGGGAGTGCCGGCGCAAGGGCACGAACCTTCTGTAGATTCCAAGGCTAGTAGCCTGTCTGAGCCCGGAAGTCGCGATGTTGGCGTTACTTCAATGTGGAAATCGCCAGGTGGTCACCCTTTGAGCACCGCCAGTATTTCTTGTCCTCGATTTCGAAAAACGGATTTTGTCGGACAGCCATGCAGTACTCGGGTTCGGGAGAAACATCTTCCCTATCTACCCGTTGCAATCCCTCCAGTCAATTGACCGCAAAGGAGCGCCTGCCCTGCTTCGGTGTTTCCACATTGCGACACAGAACCAAGGACAGACGGATGACCGGACGGGGAGATGCGTTGCTTGTCCTCTATCGTGCGGTCTGCGGAATCGGCATCTTCAGGCGGCGCAATCAAGGTCGCGACTGTGCAGCTCTGAGCCTCGTCTCTCTTGTCCAGCCGACTGTAGTGCCTGCTCGTGCTCCTGATGAATGATTTGCAAAAATTCCCGCACTGATTCTGAAAGAAGAACGATCTCCGATTCTCAAGGGCTGCGGCCCACGTGCAGCCTTACATTGGAAAAAAACTAACTTCCGAGTGCTCGCAACAACAGACCACGGCACTCACGACAACTCAGATGAAGCTAGTCGCTCCCGGCTTCCCGGCTGGACAGACTGACACAACCGTCAACAGGCTCGGGCCACCCAGGACACTCAAGCGAAGTAGCGCTCAGACCCAGGGGCCGCTCGTTTCTTTATCACAGCTGCAGCCTGTACCCACACTACCCTCTACCTGTGCTGCGTGCTTGCGAACAGACAGGGAGATATAAACGGCGCAAGCGGTCGCCATTATCGCAACCCAGGAGGAGGCGTACAGGACGCCCCATTTTCGGAGGGCGGCCCAATTAATCCAAACGCAAAGAACAACAAAATAATGAAAGGGCCCGAAGCTGGCATCGTGGCGCCGCCCCTAATGCGAATTGCCGTCGGCCTAAGTAGTCAAAACCGCGGCTGCGGCGCGCTGGGAGTTGAACGAAGTGCGCGGCCCCGGCTGGTGCGGCGCTGGCATCCAAACAAGAAACAAAGACGCCCCTGAAGGAAACACAACTCCCTCACGCACCCTCCTTGCCTTCTACCGGCCGGCGGCATAGCAGGGGGGGGCGGCGAGAGGGCGCGGCGGCGCCGCCGTCCGAACAATACCGAGGGGCCGCCGGCCTGCGGGCGAAGAATGAAAGCTGCCTGGCGGGCGCGGCCTCGGCATAATGGGCGCCAGACAAATCGCGCAGCCACAAAACCGCGCGGCGGCCCGCCCCTTTCGTTTCTGTAGCACCTCCCTGGGCCGGCGCTTTCGGAGCTTGGCTGGGCCGCGTTCGGGGCCCGGCGCCGTTCTCGGCCCCGGCCCGCGCCAGGCGCGGCGGGGCACCTTAAAGCGCGAAAAAACAAGAAGCGGGCGCCATGCCTGTGCTTCTTGATGCCCGCGCCTAGGGCTTCCATCTATGTACCTACGGGCGCAGGCCGGTCAGGATGAAGACGAAGCGCGTGCGAAAATCAACCGCCGGCGCTAACTATCGCTTGCGGGCGGTGGGGCGCCCCAAATAGTTGCAGCAGCCGGTCTTGCCGCTGGTTCGTACGTTCCGGACCTTTGCCGGCTTTGGTCTCTTGCCGTTCCCACCTCCCCGGTTGTCTTGCAAGTCTGGCCCGATAACTCCCGCAGCCCGCCCCTCGCAATCAAACGCTGGCAACCCCCCCGCCCCCTCCTCGGTCGGTGGAGGGCCCACCGGCTTTGGGGTCCAGAAACTTCGGGGGCCCGAGCGATCAGCTCGGCGCAAGATGAAGAAGCGCAAAATAAACACTCAGCGCGAAAGCCCCGGCGCCTCTGGAAAATTGCGGAGCGGCAACACTACTCGCGCGGAGCGATCTATCAACGGGCCGGGCCATGTAGTTGCAACTTGTCGAGGGGCAGGGGCAATAGCCCAGGTCCCCGACGGGTGCCACACGTCCACGGAACTGCTGCGGCCGCGGCCTTGGTGACGGCGCTTGCGCTAATAGCCGCACTTCAACCAGCACAACCGGCCGCCACTTTCTTCCAAGGCCGGGCCGGCAGCGTAGCCACTTGCGCCGGACTCTGCGCGCCGGCCCCCCGTCGCGAAAGGAAGCCCCGCATGCTTGCAGCCACGCCAGCTAGCGGCGGGCGAAGGAAGGCCGGGCCCGGCGCAGCTAAATTGCAGGCCGCCGCTTGGGCACGAGGAAAGCTCCAAAGCGCCGCCGTCACGCCCCGAGAGCGAGTTTGCAAAAACCCACAAGCCTCAGGCGGCCAATATTGCGCAGCGCCAAAGCCGCGCCCCGGCCCCCCAAATACCACCTGCCATTGTTTCATTCTTGGGCATGCCGCGGCCGACCGATTGCACCGGGGCCACGCCGCAGGAGGGACATACCCCCGCCCTCTCCCTTCTATCCTCGCGCCGCCCGGCCGGCCTGCTGGCCCTGCAGAATTTCTCCAAGGTGTTGCGAGGTTGTCAACCACGGCCGTGGTAAGGCGCGCCTGGTATTCCATGCATGTCCCGGAACGCTTCGCCAAGGGCGTCGGCTGCGGTGCTGAGTTTGGTGCCCTTACGGAAACGCCGCGACACAGCGCACGCCTGCGCCGGCAGGGCGGCGCGTTCTTACTTTTAGCCTTAGCGGCCTCGCTGGGCCGGCGGGCCTCTACTTAAAAGGGCGCGCGACGCCCCGCGCCCGTCTTGGCCTCAAAGCCGAAGATAGCTTGGGCTACAAGTAAGCAAAAAACTGCAAAAAAAATCCAGCGCGCGGCCGGAAATTCAGAAGCGCGCAGCCAGTTAGGTTCCGGCTGCTGCAGCTGGTTGCATAGCCCCTGCAAGCTCGCCCTCATTAGGGAGGCTAAAAGTGGCGCCAAGGTATCGATGTCACTTTCTCAAATCATCTGAAACAGGAGGCCTAGGCTAGTGGTCTCAGGTGGAAAAAATCATTGTGCTGAGGCACAATCAGATCGAAGGAGTTAACTTGTCAAATGTGAATGCCACGCTGCTTATTGCTTGTTGCTGGACCACGTGAACAAACATCAAGCGTAAAAGCGCACATGCCATTTCTGGTTCATCCGCTTCTCCTCATATGGCTCCTCATCATCATTATCTATTAATTTCATCTATACATCAAATCGACAGCAGTTCATTATTCAGCGGCTTGTCTTGTCTTGTCGAATAGTCCTCAGATGAAGGGAGCAAAAAGGATCCCTCGTCGCTTTTCATCACCTTCAAGGGTGGCTCGACCTCCATCAGGGGGAGTCTATTCGCCTTCGCGTTCCCGATCGCCGCAGGGTGAACGTGACATGGCCTTCTAGCTAGGTTTGGCTCCGACGTAGCCGATCAGGCAATTACAGAGACACAGGCGAGAGTGGGCGTGACATGGAGAAGATAAAACTCACGCTCTTCATCTTCAACTTCACTGGGCCCTTCGCCCTTTGACCGTCTTCTGCATCGCCTTCCAGTCGACTCGTGACCCGCTGCTTCCTTCTCATCCATTCCACCGATTGCGTTCATTGCACTGCTTTGCAGCAAGGTCAGTCAGCTGTTTGTCACGCACGACTGGGGCACATCGCTCCTCTGCGTCGCCCAGGCATCCTGCGTTCTTTCACAGCAGCTCGTTCATCTACTCCGCGCTGTTCTTTTATCAAGCCTGCGTGGTCGAGGTCGTCGTCGTCTTGCTCAACCTGGCTTCCAATTCCGCCTGCACCATGGTCATGTTCATTTCGAAGGTCTGGATCAACCGCCGCAGTTCCTGCGTGGACTTGTTCCGAAAATCCGTCGCTTCGGTATCCCCCTCCAAATCGTGCAGCTCCGTCTCCAGCGCCTGCCGTTCCTTCAGCAGAGTCGCCACCTCCTCGTTCAACTCGTCAAAACGGGTTTGCAACTCCTTTTCCTCCTTCACCGCGTCGGCGTCGTCGGACCGCGTCCGCAGCGTCTCCTCGCACTTGAACAGGCTCTCGATCGCGTTGCTCAAGTACCCCTGAAAATCGTCCTCCCAGGTGCGGTTCGTAGAAGATGCGGCGGGCTGGAGAGAGGAAGGGGAACGCGGCAGATCGCCTGCATTGCGATTTCGGTAATATACATGGTGCATTTCCTTTTTCAACATCCGCATCAGGAGGCGGGAACAGGAAGAACAAGAACTCTTGCAGACATATTAATTTGCGCACATAAACGACAAGTAAAAACCGCGAAGATTGTAGCTCGCTAATGTTCTACATGAACTTTGTGAATCGCGAGTACCTATTATCGGACTTCGCACAGTGAGCCGGTTTATGAGCGCTTGGTCATGGGGCTCGAAAAATTCGTCATTGAGGTTCTGTGGCGGTGGTGCCGGCCCAGCCGGTTTCGTAGAAGTACTGCCTGAAGACGCGGACGCTGGTGGTGCGGTCTTTTTCGCGGCGGGAGCTGCGGCCGCGGCACTCGGAGCTTTACCCAAAACACCACTGCGCCACGCGGCTTCATCAGCTGAGTCCGTCATCTTTGTTGTGACAATATTTTTATCACGTTCTGTCTCGTCAGAAAGCAAAAAGCAAAGCTTTTCATTTAAGTCTTGATGTGCTTCTTCTCTTCAAGATCCATACGCACAATAATCTCGACGCCCTCACGACGACCGTCGTCGTCGCTTCAGTTAGTTGTAAATCCTAATCCTCACACACAGACATATTAACTACCTTGATGTTCCGCTGCAACAGGAGCGGGTGAGACTACACGGTTACACAAAAAGACTTTGTGCAGAACAACGGGAACAACGTCCACTCAACCGACTTACGAGAACCACCGCGAACGCGCTTCATACGCCGTTGAGGCTTATGACCAACAATAAAGTGTCGACGCGTATTCACCCCGCGCGGGTTAAAATTCTCATGTGAAATGGTGCATGGCCCTTTGTTCTTTCTCACAACTGCGGTTTCTGTAACACTGCTAAGGGAACATCAATCAATGCTGTGGTCGTAGTCGTTCGTAAATGATTTTACTTTTTCTTATTATTGCGCTAGTAGACACAAACAGAAACAACTTCAAGACGTTTAAGTTTATTCTGTCTCGTCAAGAATCGATGGATTTCTTCCAGAAGTTTGGGTTTTGCGTTAATTTTCTTCGAAAGGAGTCGAACCACTGCTCCAGTGCCCCGATCGGGACGAGTTTCTCTTGCACCAACGCCTGCCCTATCAAATGCGAAAATGTCTGGGTCTGGAAGAATGCAACTTGTCATGCTAAATCTGAAGCATGCAAAAATCGGTGTTGCATGATTACCAAAAGTCGTCCAGTTTTGACCACGTCGGGAGGGAGTTTCTCATGCAGGATAGGCATGAGAGAGATCGCACAGAATCTGTCATGCTAGGTCCTGCATTCCAGACCTCATGCCATGGGTCATGGAAAAGCTGCATGACAAGTCTGACAATCTTCCAGACCCAGACATTTTTGCAATCCATATGCCCCCGCGTTCGCCACTGCTCCTCGGTGAGGATCCACCCGCTCATGTGGTCATAGCAGTTCTGCGCGAGCGCCTTCACGAATGTGAGGTAGTCCGTCTGCTGCTGCTGCACCTGCTGCTCTTTGGGCACGATTTTCTGCTGTATTGCGGACAGCGGCTCGACGAGCACCCCTATCCTCGTAAACTGCGGCTCGGGTGTGACCGCGACGATCGCCGTTTCTGTAGGAGCTGCCGACAACATGGCTGGCTGTGCGGGCGGCGAGTTCGACGCACTGCTCTTCGTACTGGCGGACGAGGAAACGCGGAAGATCGCGGAGGGTTTGTCATTGGCCAAATGCCCGAGGAACTTGAAGCCGTTGTCGGACAACATGAGGTAGACAGACGCGCCATGGTTCTCCGGCAACGCTTGCGCGCCGGTGAGAAAGAGAACCAAATGCTGCAGCTGGGAGTGCGGCACTGGAAGCTGGAACATAATCTCGTTGTCGCTCATTATCTGCCCGTTCACTTGCACCGGCTGACCGGGGAGAATTAACCCGATCACGTTGCTCGTTGCGGCCATGATTGATGGATCTTGTTCGGATTCAAAAGTACTAGAGTCGGATGAAATAATGATTGAAATAGCGACAGAAGTAGAGGATGAGGCCTATCAGTTTCAACGTGTGCTGTCGCTCTCCTCATCCGTAATGAGCAATACGGATATTTACTGCTTCCAATAGACTCGTCAGCAGGGGACTAGGACTCTGGACTCTCGATCTCGTCGTTTTAACTACCAATATCAGGAAACAATGACTTCTAATTCATCTGTTTGATAGTGCAAACTCTAACTCTTTCTTAAATTTCTAGAAGATGTTGAGATGACCCTGCAACTAGAAGCAAATTATGAAACAGAGATACTAGTATGCATTGCCCAGCGGTTTGCCTTCGCCGATGCATTTGCAGTTTTGTTTGTCGTCGATTCTTTCATTGTGTGATTCTGGAGTAAGATGCCGTTGTGAAAATCATCCTCCAATGAATTTTGATCTACCAATGTGTATGCATGCAAAAATTTTGTACAGGATGTGTGGTTCCGCTTCGTTGAGACGACTATATCAAATTCCAAAAAAGTTACTACATGTATGATGAAACAAAAACGATTTTTGTGCGCTACTCAAGCGGTAATCTGCTTGATGCGCTCCGTTCATACTGCTAGGAAATTTTGAAAGATTAAGATTTACGATTGGAAAAACTATGGTGAAAACAGATCTGACTAGAAGAAGTCATCCTGTTTCTGAGCTAGAATTTCTGCTATTGTTCCGAAGACTAAAAGATAACTGCTCATCAAAGATAAAGATTGTAAATGTAAACTCCGAATAAAACAGGTTAACGGAAAACTACCGATTCTTCTGGTGGTTGTAGTTCGAGTTCCACTGTAATTGTACAGAATAGTAATGATTTGACCTGGAGATGAATTATTCTTGCAGATGAAGTGTACTGTTGCTGACACTTCTACCCAGCAAAAAATCTCATCATCCCGTCAGTCTTCGTACGGCATCAGAACGGTGTAGGAAATCCGCTTCTTCTTCGGCACTGTCGACTGTTTCCGGATAACCTTCTGCGGTCCGCGGCGGAAGCCGTAATCCGACAGGTTCATCAATTCGTCCGCGGCGTTCTGCGCCTGCATCTCCTCCTTCAGATCCCGCACCTCGTAAATGAGCCGGCGACTGCTCAACCGTCCCAGAGCCGACTGCTTCCGCCGCTGCTCGTTCATCTGCGACAAAGACTTCCCCGCGGCAATGCCCTCCGGCGGCCCCGCGCCGGACTTTTTTGGCATCTCCGTCAGCGTGCGCGCGCCGGGCACGAGGAACGACTTGGGTTGGTGCTGGAACATATCAAATGTAAAAATGTCTGGGTCTGGAAAGTTCCGGGATTTGTGATGCATATTTTGTATGAGCCATAATGCATGTGATGCATGATATAGCATCACAGATTTTTAGAGGGCTTCCTGATCCCTATTCCGCATGAGAAATGCCCTCTCCGCGTACCACAAACTGGACTCCTGTTGTTGGTCACGCAATACAGATTTTTTTGGAATCCAAAGACAGCATGACAAGTTGCAATCTTCCAGACCCAGACATTTTTGCAATTCATAGAACAGCGCGGGGCCGCACAAGTAGCTCGGTCGCGACTTCTTCCCGCTGTTGTTCTCTTGTTCTTCTTCGTCCTCCGGGGAAGAAGAACTCAGCATCCGACTGTTCTGCTTACTTCGGACCTGTTGCGAAGTTGTGGTCTTTTTTCTCACGACAGCACTGCCGGTAGAAGAGGTGGAAGTTGTTTTGTGCACCACGCGGGACGCAGGCGACGAGGCTTTATTGCGGTCTTTCTGTTTCTGCCCCCTACTACTGGTACTACCTGTTGCAACCGGCGCCGTGGCCGGTCGCCGGTCGTATTCGAACTCGTCGAAAAAGTCATCTTTTTCATTCTCCTCCAGCTGCAAATCCTCCGTTTCTTGCAGTAAAGTCCTCGCTTTCAACTCGTCGGGGCGCAGCGTGGTCACCATAGAGGAAGAGGGAGATTTATTTTCGTTTATTCCGCCATGTCGGTGGTCTTCTCCTGGTCTTGTTGAGACAAGAGATGAGACTTTGTTCATGGCCTTCGCGGACTCTTGTGACGCGGTTTTTAACACCCTTTCCGCTCGATGCTGTTCCTGCATCATCTCTTCCTGTTCATGGTCTAGCACAACCGTTTCCCCTTCTTTGTAGTGCGCACCGAGACCAAACGCGAACGTCATCCCTTTCTTCAGCGTCTTGTCTTGAATATTTTTCGCTGGTGATACTGACCTACTATTCGGAGAACCCGCTCCTGCTGCCCCTGTCAGATCATCGTTCGGCCCGAGGCCCTGGAACATGCGCTGAAAAGCGATTTTCTGCTCGGCTTCGCTGCGTCGCAGTGGCGGTTCCTCGGGCACGACGAAGACCTTCTTCTTGTGTCCATTCGGCAACTCCTGGTCGGCTTCTCGCAAATTGAACAGCGCCATCGCGTTGGCCCACGCTTCTTTTTCCGCCTGCTTCGGGACCACCCGCTCCGCGTAGCACCGTTGGAGGAAGGTGACCCCCTCGAAGTCCCGCGGGCCCATCTCGATAGCCGCGCGGCCAAAGGCTTTATCCTATGTAAAAACGTCCCCACTCCCTCGTTGTCATGCAGGTTTGCATCCACAGAAACGTCTGTAATGCACATCCGCATGACGAGAGAAATTTGTAGTCGCGTTCTGGGATTTGTAATGCTGCAAAAAGGATAACAAGCAGGCGTCTTTGTGATGCGGCTCTCCTTGCTAAGCAGCCCGATACTACAGATGCAAACTTGTCATGCGGGACAGCCAAAACTTGTGGGTCTGTGTAGCAAATTCCCCAACTTGACGATGGGGTGGGGACGTTTTCCCTTAGGATAGGCTTTCACCAAAAACCACCGCTTTTTGCTAAGCCGGGACTTCGTGATGGCGTGCCGGTCGAACATGGACCGCTGCGCCTTCTCCTGCTCCTTCTTATGAAAGCGCACAACTGCTCCCCCTCCCCCTCACTTGTCTGGCATGAACGGCAATACACGCATCGGCTGCAAGAATGCAGGTTTTGCACGACAAGAAATTCATCCAGGATCATTCTTGTTGTAGTGCTGGTTGCAGTTCCAGAAGTTGTTATGCAAAAAGTGCCATAGGGGCAAAGGGTGGATTTGGAGTTTTGCATTACAAATGAGGAGAAGGGGGAGTTGTGCACTCTCATACTTCTGCGCGAGCATCCACAGGTTATTGTTCACCAGGATCCTCCGCACCGCCTCCTTATCGTCCGCGTCGCCGCACAGCACGAATTTCGCGTTTTCCGCCTGTTCTAGGTTCCGCAAATCATGCTCTTCCTGTTTCGATATGCATTGGAAACATGTCTGGCTCTGGGTCTGGAAGTAGTTTCTGAGACTTGTCATGTTGGAAGGCTAAGGGCAGGGCGTCCCATTCGTTTATAAACTTAAAACGGTAGCCACCTACCCAGCAAACTCTGAGTGGAATAAGCACGGGCAAAGCGATCTCTACCGAGAGACAGTTACAAGAGCTCCTGGGACGGCTGCGGGATGAGCTTCTGAGACTTGTCATGCACGTTTTGCATGAGCCATGATGTCTGTGACGCATGCCCTAGCATCACAGATTTTTTGAGGCATTCACTCTTGATGCCTATTCCGCATGACAAATTCCCTCTCCGCGTCGCAAAAATTGCATTCCCTTTGCTGCTCATGCAATACAGATTTTTTAAGAATCCAAATGCAGCATCACAAGCTCCGCTGTCCCAGAGGACCAAGGCATATCTGCAGTTGATATTCGACAGGTGCGCGATGTGGTCGGTGTCCTCCAACTCTGCGGAGCCCAACTTCTCCGTCTGCTCATTCTTACTGCTCGCCGAACCCGCGGAATCCCGGCTGAATCTGCGGCCGGCCGCTGCACTGGAGGATCTCTTGGACACGACTCTCCTGTTACCCGCTCCTGGGGCAGAAGACGGTCTTCTACCACCGCTTTGGCTTTTCGGACTGAGCGACGACCCATGGTCCGCTCCCGCGAGAGATTCCACCGCGAACACCGGACCGGTTATGCTTTTCGCCAATGCGTATCAAGTGCAAAAGTGTCTGGGTCTGGAAGAATGCAGACTTGTCATGCATATTTTCTATGATGATTGATGCCTCTAATGCATGATCTAGCGACACAGATTTTTAGAGCGCTTCCTAAACCTAATGCCTATTCCGCATGAGAAATGCCCTCTCCACGTAACACAAACTGGAGTCCTGTTGCTGGTCATGCAATACAGATTTTTTTGGAATTTAAAGACAGCATTACAAGTTGCAGTCTTCCAGATCCAGACATTTTTGCAATCCATAATGCGCCGACGTCTTTGAAGCGCTCCTGCTGTTCCTCGCGGAAATACTCCAGTGCCTCGTTTGCGTCACGGATAAAATCGCCCGGCGCGGGCGTGTCTACGTCGAAAAATTCCGCCACGCGGGAGTAGGGGTCCACGTCCGGATCCTCTTTCAGACCTAACGTTTCCAGCAGCTTCTCGTTCGTGGCAAACTGGCAGTCGCGAAACTTCGCCCGTATCTTTTCGCGTTTCGCCGGGTCCTGCATAAGCGAATTCCTTCTCGCCCACCAAGGGCTCGGGATACCCTGCTCCTTGAAAAAATCCAGGATGGCCTCCGGGGACTGGTCGGGGACGAAAGCGGAAGAACTGAAACTAGAACGGGAACGGGAGAATTGCAGCCCTTTCTCTATCTGATAATTTCAACAAGTTGGAAGTTAGTATATTCACTAGATTCTGCTTGCAGAAGCAGATCGTCGATGTAGATGGCCTACAGCAACGGAAGCAGTTGTACCAAAACAAGAGACATCGATCATCTGACTAAGTATGAGAATCAGAATTTAGTAAAACTCACCCCAACTTTTGTCGTCCTCTCCGGCATCAAACTTTTGAACGGCCTCGGGTTTTCCCCGAGTACGCTGTCCGTCCGCTGGAAGTGCAGTTTTGGATTGCTCGCCGTGTCCACGATGCCCAGCTTGGCCGCCGCAATTGGGTCGCTGTGTCCGGCCGCTATGCCGTCCATCACGTCTTTAAGCGAGACGCGCTCGCCGCCCGTCCCATTGCGGCTCGGCGCGTTGGAGGATTCTGTTGGTTTTGGATTTGGAATGCGATATGATCGTCTATTTTCATGTCAATGTCATGTTGATATTGTAGATTGTAGCCTTCTTCTTGCGAAATGCTTTTAACCGCAAGAAGAAGAACCCAGACTGCAAGCATGATGAATTTTACCTGCATCCTCGAAATCGTCCAAATAGTCTTCGGGGTCATCTTCCTCATCCTCCGACTGGTAGTTGCCCTCGTGGTATCAGATGCAAAAGTGTCTGGGTCTGGAAGAATTCGAGATTTGTGACGCAGTTTTGCCTGACCCGGATTGTCTGGCATGCAAGCCAGCACAGCAGCACAGATTTCGAGCAGGTCTCCCAAGGCCTAAGACGCATGACAAATCCCCTGCTTCGGTAACAAGAAACGGGCACGGGGCCTTTTGCTGGCCATGCATGACAGAATTTCTCATGATGTAGAATTCGCATCACAAATTGGAATCCTTCCCGACCCAGACATTTTTGCATTTGATACGTGACGCATCGGAGGACCGGCGTCCACGCCCAATTCGTCCTCTGCGTAGGCCATACTTCGTTCTGAGACTATTTCTCGCTCGTCTTTAGAATTCGCACAGCACGTGGGGGTGGGGAAAAAAAGTCCCGTGCTGCAAAAAGAAAAGATGTGTGATTTCAATTTTGGTCAACAACGTTTTGCTTCCGAAATAGCTTAGCGTACGACAACGAGGCATCAAAAGGCAGTTGTCATGAACTAACACTGTACGCGTTTGTGAAAAAGACTGGCAAGCAGGCGCTACGAATCGAAAAAAAGACGAGTGCGACGACCCCCAGCCCCCCACGCATGGCAACAAAAAAAACGAAAAAAACCGGCAGCGCGTGCCACAATAAGTTGTTTTCCTTTTCGCAGCGATACATCCAACCGCAAATCAAGAGCAGATGCCCCCCAACCCATGGACGAGATCTGATACGACCACATTGATTATTATTATTTAGATTCGCTTTAAAAAAGCGCGCTAGCCAACCGGCAAAGCCGATTATGGCAGCGAGTGTCCAGGTCTCACGTGCGTTCACCTTCAGCGGGTCCTCTGTGTAACTTCTTCACCGGGTTCTCTCAAAGTAGTACTAAAAAACTATGGGTAAACTCTTAGTAAAGTTTTCTAAAACTCCTCGTACGCTGCAAGAAAAAATTTTTCCCCTTTTTGATCTGTGATTATCGCTCTGTGCAATCTAAAAACTTTTTTTCTCCAGGATCCTGAGCTATGGCCGACCTTGATTTGCAAGATCCTAATTGAAAAGTGCTTGACTAAAAAAGCGACAATACTGCAGTTTGGACGCTTTGGTAGTGTGAAAACGCCTATTTCCACTACTTATCCTGTAACCATGACCTAACAACTAAATAGAGAGAGAAAAAAACTAAAAAAGGGCAAGCTTGAATTTAGTTTGACCTTTCGTCTAGACACAGAGTTAGCCTGATACTTGTGCATGAAGGAGACAACAGCTGCTAGTCCAACTAGTTGATCTAAACTCTGACCGCCGCCTCATCCGGAGCCCCCGGTTTCTCTTCCGTCTCCGGTTGTTCGAGCTTACTTGTGGTCCGGTGATATTCCACGCGTTCTCCAGTTGACTTCGCCTTGACTAAGTTTCTGCGCCGCGGTTAAACGGGCGAGCCAAACGACCACCGCGCACGTGAGCCTGTTGCGCAAGCTCGTCTATCCTTATAAGCTGACCGATGAAGACTAGCCTCGGGGCCTCCGGCACAAAGTATAGGAAATGAAAAAAATCCGCTCCCTTGGGGAACCATAAGCGAAACACTATCTATTTTCTTCTATGCACGATGTTATTCTTTTCTTGTAGCCGAAAAGTCTTAAACCCATGGACGAGATATGATACGACCACATTGACCGACAACGGTCTTATGATACGAGATATGATACGACCTTATCCCGCGGGTCATCTGCTGTAGAATCCCGACGGCTTGCTGCTGCAGCTCCTGTGCGCCGGTGGCGTGGAGAACATCGTCCGGCACGACGTAGGAGATGTTAACTGCGCCAGCCCGCGATGTGGAAATACTTATGGACCGGAGGAAGTCCGCTACTTTCTGGTCTTTTGCTGTCCCACTCCTCGTATCCAGCGCAAAAGGAATCGCACTCGTTCAATTTGTAATGCTCTTACTTAGTCTCGCATGACAGATCTGCTTTCCTGCATGACAGATTTGATTTCGTTTTTCCTGTCTGCATGACAAGTTTCATTTTTCCTGTTGCAAAATTTGTGAAGCGACTCCTGCTAGTGCGATTCTTTTGCGATGCATAA